ATCAGACCAAACCAAGCCTTTATAATAGTGAGGTATCAAAAATCGAACTTGTGTATTTAAGTGTTTTATGCTCACAAAAAAGAAACCTATCATTCTATAGGTAGTGGATAAAAATGTAATCTGATAAATGAAGCTTTACAAAATCAGTTAGCAAAATATGGTATCATTAAAAAAAACCAACATGGATTTATCAGATAAAACTTGCTTTATTAATCTGTTACCTTCCTTCCAAAATTATCTTGTTATCTCTGTTAAGGAAAGGATGTGGACTTGGTGTACCTAGATGTTAAAAAGGCTTTTGGTAAGGTGCCACACAAAAGATTAGCTATGAAAACCACTTCAGTAAGAGTTACAGAAAGACAAGTATATTGAACAGTATTGTAGCTGGATGTCTCAAGTCACTGCCTGAACCTTTGCTTTTCCTGACTTACATCAATTTCTAAGTTGAGCAAGTATTTTTAATTATGGTAAGTAAAGCTGGTCAATTAATGGTATTTGCTTGTTAATCAATTATATTTGATTAATTGATTAATAAACGCTCCTTGCTACCACCCTCCTCCCATACAAGCAAAATAAAATAAAAAATCTAAGGTTAATTTGTTTTTATTACAAATTAAAGGCTACTGAATTCTCAACATTTCCTCAGCTTTTAGGATTTAAATCACTACTTTTATAACATTACACTGTATATATACACAGTGCTTCATAGAATCTTTGGTCTCTCATTGTCCAGCCTAACTGAATAGTTCTGGCACTGAATGAAAAGCTAACTGGGTATTAACTTGTGGGAGATAAAAGACAGATTTAAAAATACTGTTTATTACATACCTCTGATTTCAAGACCCAATGGAAAAAACACGAAAAACTGCAGTTAACTTGTTTTTATAAAATTTCTCAATGACATTCTAACTTTTAAACAATGAAAACTCAATTTTGTAACAAGTCTATGTTATAAAAGCTGTAGGTGTCCTAAACAATACTAACTTTGATGAAACCAATTTTCTTAACGTCTAAACACATTGAGAGTCTCTAGACAACTGTTTTTTTTATCAATTTCTGAAAAAAAGAAATGAGTGATTCGTCATCATCATGAGCCCCAGTGCTGAACTACACAATAGCAAGAAAAGGTGTCTCATGCACAGCACATTTTAACTTCCTGCTTCAAGCCTATAGCTTATGTAACTACAATACTTTTCAGTAAATTTGAGCCACTGTTGGCTGATTTTATTCAATTTTCCCCACCTGAATATTCAAGTTGGAATATTGAGATGCTAGTCAATGAGGTAAAGGTGCTTCAAAGGCAATGTTTTTATGTAAGATTTTTTTAGTCAATTTCAGTATACAAGTCACCCGCTTCTATGAGTGTTACAACTACTCCATAAATGGGATGTGTAGTCATGTTTTGACATGCACATGTGACTGAACCCAGATCAGCATTTTATAACTTTTTTTTTGCTTTATTATAAGCTATAACTGCCTTTGTTATTGAACATAAGCAATTATAAGTAATTTTTGGTGATAAAAAATTATGCTTATTATTATTATTATCAAAAATCATTTTCAATAATTTTATGTAATTTTTTTGTAAACTTGTCTTATATTAAAACAATTTAGCAGAACAAGAAAAATAATTCTTAGTCTCATTTTTCATATGGATGACAATGGTCCTGACAGTGTCAATGATGATGCAATGCCAAGTGGGACTGTGTAGATTATAGATCATCAAGTGTCCCAAATATTTACAAATATCCCAATACTAATTGATCTTTTATATTGTACCAATGCATCTCTTTACACAAAATAAAGATATGAGGTGCTGAAGCCAGAGGTCTGGAAACTCAAACAAAAAATGCAGGAAATTATGTTGTAGAAGACCTTTGGGACAGTTGAAAAGCTAGGGTATAAAGGGAAGAGTGGTTGAATTGGGAATACCAGCAAAAATAGCTTGTCTGAGATAGGGAGCTTCTCTGAGATCTCTAAGGGCTGAAGCAGGAAAGCAAACTCCCTCTAGCAAGGCTTCTCTCCAAAAGATCCAAACAACAAACCAACCATGATATTATGGAGTGAGCAAGCAGAAGCTGATAACAAAGATCTTCCAAAAATTGAGCAGATGATCTGTGATAA